GAGGGGAAGGGGGGGGGATGTTGGGCGCGATGGCGTCTGTCTTCCCAAGCCACCGCTACATGTGACGGAGCCCTGGTTTACTGGCGATGGCGGCACACCCGCCTGCCGATGGCGAGGGGTGAAGGAATTCCTTGCTGCGCGTTCCTTACAATGTGGCTTTTGCTTTACCTATTGAACCAGTTTTATCTCAATCCACGAGTTCTCTCACGTTTCCGATTCTCCCCCATCCTACCGCAGAGGAGGCAGCGAGCAGCCGGCTGGGGCTCAGTCGCTGGCTGGGCTTAAACCACGACAACACCCAACCGTCATCCATCCCTCCCCAGTTCCAGTAAACCACACTGATGCGGACGCAGCACAACGGCTCACCCCATGCCCGGACCCAGAAGCTGCCCCACTGCAACCTCCCGGATACCCTGGGACTTGCTCTCGCAACGGCGAGCTCCAATGCCACTGCCCACTTCTGGGCTTTGAATCTTCTCTGAGGACCTCACAAGCCCTGTCCTCTCCCAGGACCATCAAGGGGGTTGCCACTGGGGGACAAGAGGCGGCACCTCGTGTCACAGGCACCACAGGGAGGAGAGAAAAGGTTGGGGCACAGGGGCCAAGCTTAAGCGAGTCCTAGCACGCATGCAAAGCCTAGGGCGGTTGAAGACAGGCTCCCAGCCACCCATTCCACCCCTTGCTCCATCCCGCAGCCCGAGCGGTGCTGTGAACCTCTTCCTCCTCCCACCCAGTGGGGTCCCTGTCACTTGCTGGGTCCCTGTCGCTGGCCGGGGTCAGACGGAGCCATTCCACAGCCCCATCGTCCTGGGCCGCTTGCATGGGGTGGGAGGAGGGATGTGGGGAAGGGACTCACCCTCGTCTTTGTCACCCGGGGTGGGCTTCAACGGGTTTGCTGCAGCCTGGGTCCTGTCCTGCCTTTTATCTGTGCTTTTAGCTGTCTCCTCTCCTCCTATTCCGGGAAATCAGAGTGAGTCGGAGAGCGAAAGTCGAGGACTGGGAGGGCGGAGGAAGTCAGTGTTTGGACCCTGGCCAGCAGCCAAGCGCAGAAGCTGGGGCAGACGAAGTCAAGACGCTTTAATAAGTGAAGGACAGACTCAGGCGCTTTCTCTCCTCCGTGACCCACGGACACGTCCCCTGCAGCAGCTCTCTCACACACGCCCCGACAGTCCGGCCCCTCTGCCTTCCTCCCTCTGCGTTTCCCCCCAGATACTTCTCCCCATGCCCCTCATGGACCTGCCACCACCACCCCCACGAGCCTCTCACCCGAGGGCCTGCCAAGAAGCACCCTGGTCAGCCCCAAAACCCCTGTGCCCCAACATGCAACCACCTCCCCGTGTTCCCCTCTTGCAGACACATGCCGTGGTCCCCCCACACACGTGTCCCTCGTGCCGCTCTCTCATGAGGACGCACAGCACGGACACACAGAGATGCTCCTCAGCACCCCCTCCCCCCCCCAAGCGAGCCTCAGCCCCCATTCTCCCATGGGCACCTCGTTCCCTCCGCATCCCCTCACGAACATGCCCTGGACCCCATTTGCCTCACTGACCCCTGCTCTGTCCCTCTCCCCCTCCCCAAGGGATGCCATGGCCCCCTTGAAAACACATCCCATCCCCCACGGACACCCCCACATGGCATCCCTTGAAAACACATCCCATGCCCCACGGACACCCCTACCCTCCCCTTGCAGAAACACCACGTCCCCCTTCCCCTGACGTCCCCATCCTCCACATGTCCCCATGCCCGTTTCTCTCCCACAGCGGCATGCATCGTCCCCCCAATACCCGGGCACCCCCCATCCCCACTTCCCCCGCTCTCCCGTCAACGTGCCCACTCCCCATTTCCCCCCCCCACAAGGCTGCTCTCCTGTGCCCAGATCACAGCACCCTGACCCACCCCACGGGTCCCCGGCTCCATCTCGATGCTCGCTGTGAACACCCAGCACTGCCACGCTCATCCCACAGGCACCCCACACTCGCGGGTCCCTTGCCACCCCGGACACCCCAGTCCGCACCCAAGGACCCCCTCCTTGCGGGCTGGTCCAGCTTGAAGTTTGCCGGTGAGTGCACACCAGGATTGAGGAAGACACAGACATTTGCCCCACCACCACCAGCACCAGGGACACGGGCTGATGAGGGTTGGTGGGAAATAAGGGTTGGTGGGAACAACTCCTTGAGATGCTGCAGGGTCACCTGCCAAATCCCACCGGATAAACCGCGTCTGACGCTTCCTACCAAGAACACCAGCCACCTGCCCTTGTTCATGACGACGCGGACGATGTCAGGGTGAAAATGGGGCCAGGAGGGAATTTTGCTGAAATCCTCGTTGGGCTCAGCCATAGAATCGAGGGCTGCGTTGAGGTGACGCTTCTGCTCCTCAAGGCATCACTGCCGTGTCCCTGTTTGGGGAAGCAGCACCATCTGGTTGCAGCATTATGAGCTTTACTCAACTTTCGCAGACTTTGGGCCCTCTTGTGACTTGGGTTCCCCCATGACATCAGCAGAAGGGAGGTTCCTCACGATCTGCAGGTGTGATTTGAGGGCAAGGTGGGGGAAAGTTCTGCAAAACAACGTATTGACAGAGAATATTGCTAAATCTGAAGGGTGCTGACCCGTTCTGCAATGCCCTTTTTACTTCCGCAGCAGCTCCTGGTGGACACGGAGCCTTTTGTGGAGTCCTGCGTGGGACAGACGCCGGCCTTTGCGTCTGTGGTCTTGGCAGAGATGCCCCTTCCACCCAAGAGGGTTTTCCTTGGTCACTCAGAATGAGATTTAAACGTAAGGCACGGAAGAAATTTAAATTATTTTGCTGATGTTCGGCTCTGCCTTTTCACACCAGAGCATCTGTCCATCCTCCATAATATTGGCACCGAGATGTCCAAGCCCTGATGTGGCCACCGACTGCCTCACCGAGACCCTTGAAACTCCACCAGAATATCTATGGAATTTCTCTGCCCTTTTCCCGATCCAGAAAATGTAATCGTAAATTCCTTAGTGTAGAGGAGAAGATCCCACCTCCCAGCCCCAAGGAGCCCCCACGACTGCGAAGCCACGCAACGGCTTTGTGGGCCAGATGACGTTACTGTGAGGGTGGTGAGGCACCGGAACCGGCTGCCCAGAGGAGCTGTGGCTGCCCCCACCCTGGAAGGGTTCAAGGCCAGGCTGGACGGGGCTTGGAGCACCCTGGTCTGGTGGAAGGAGTCCCTGCCCACAACAGGGGGTTGGAATGAGATGATCTTTAAGGTCCCTTCCAACCCAAACCATGCAATCATTCTGTGAGTGGTGAGTGAGATGAACTGAGGAACTCATGTTCCGTCTGAACATGAGGAAGAACTTCTTCCCTCTGAGGGTGACGGAGCACTGGCCCAGGCTGCCCAGGGAGGTTGTGGAGTCTCCTTCTCTGGAGATATTCAAGACCCGCCTG